ACTGCGTTCTTACTACGACAGCCGCGTGTCAGGCGGCACGGTAACCTTGGGACAGTCTTCCCTTCACGCGGCCATGCACCCCTGTACGAACATGGCCTGGTGCTTGGATGGGGCCAGTACTGGTCACCACGTGGACCCCGTCCTTACAATTTGTTGTAGCCAGAATTCGTTTGGCATCCACGGGTCTCCCTCGAGCACTGTTCCCTCAGGCACTGCACTGTATACATTTTAAATGCACCATGTATACAACGCACAGCAGGACATGCGCAGCCTATGTACACCCTAGGTCCTATGCTCACAGAACCTACCATACTCCGTGTCTGGAATGAGTTACGTGGTCCACACCCCCCCGAGTAACATGTAACGTGTGTGTGTAGCATGCTATCCTGCACACATCTGAAGGAGTCTGTGGACATAACACTATTATGCTGTGCACACATTTCCTCATATTCAGTGGAAGGTGCCTCATTTTGTACTCAGATATTTGGCTTCCATAACGAGTTATACTGCTCACATCTTAAAATGTTCATTACACGTGAAACCACCACATGGTACTGACATCCTCCTGGAATGTCCCGCGCAGAGACTGACGTATGTGCACACTTGCTGTTCTGTGTGCCTAGCCGCTCACACTGGATGCCCACCTCACACTCTTCTACCTACAGGACCGGCCAGCAGCATGACGTGTGCGCATCTAGATGTGCAAGAAGTCGCTCAGACACCTGGACACAGATCATCCTATAATCCACCCGCTGGACCTGATATTTCCCGCAGTCCCCTAGCCCCCAGGGCTGCATTTTCACCCACAAATATTCCCCCCGCCCTGCGCCCCTCCGTCGGGCTCGAAGTTTCCTTTACCCTTGCCGGATCCTCCTTCCCTCCCTTCTGAAGCCCCCAGGACAGGCCGCTTCCCTCCTGCTCAGCGCCCGCGTCGGTCCCGGCTGGCCGCCCTACCTTGAGGCGTCTTTTGAACCTCGCCTCGAAGGGAGTTGGAGGGAGCAGGGGCCAGGGGGGCGCGGGCCCAGCGTTACTGCGGAGCTGGAGCGGCGGCGGCCAGCGGGGCGGCTGCCCTCGCGGTGGGTGGTCTCGGCGGCCCCCAGCCCCGCCCGCTCGGCCGGCCCCGGCTCCTTGGGAGCGGGATCTGGTTCCCCGCTCGGGTTACGGCGCGCTCTCGGCCCCGGCGGCTTCACTTAAGCAATTAGCCAGTAAAAATATCGTGGGCCTGGGGAGTGGGAGACCTCGCAGACGCGCCTGTTTTTACACCCCCCACCCTCACCCCGCTCCACCAATTTCAGGATTCCTAGGGCCCGAGCTGGGGCACAGATTTGGTTTGGGGTGGGAGGGGGCCGATCTTCGTGGATTTTAATCCGAGAGCAAAAGGCTGCCCGCTATCTCCGTCCCTTCTGCATTTTCTCCTCCGTCCCTGGAGCTGAGCCCCTGGGGTGTTTGCTTCTGTTTTAACAACCTTAACTTTCCCTGCCTGGGCTTGTCCAACCCTCTCTACGACCCTAAGTAGGAACCATCATTAGTTCCATTTTGCAGATAAAGAAACGAAGGCACAGAGAGCTTCACGTCATCCCCTTGTCTTGGGGACAGTTCAAATACCCCTGCCTTTGTGGTTCCCGGTAGAAGGGCCCCTCTGCCCTGAGCGCCGCGGGGCTTCACCCGATGGTCAGGACACCTAACGCCCGGGTTCTGCCATCAGGCCAGGTTTGAATACTGGCTCTGCAGGGTGACCTAGGACCTGGAGTGACCTTGCCCAGCTCCATCTGTGAATGAGGAGGGGAATTATACTCACTTGGTAGGGGCATCGGTGAGTATGAAACAAGTCTCTTTGGGACATTTAATCAGGGTCCTGTGTTCATGGTTAGTGCGTCACAGGTTCACAGATGGGCTCCAGGCATTTGGTGAAAACTTCAAAATTATTCTACGAATGTCACAGATATGTACCTTCTGGGGGTGGGGTCAGGTGGGACTAGTTGTCAAAGGATTGACAGCCAAGAGAAAGGTTAGGAGCAGACAAGGGCAGTTCATCAAGTGAGGAGCAGAGCCTGGTGCCTGGGAGGCAGATGACCCTGTTATGGTCAGGTAGTTGTAGTTGTCCTTGCTATTTTATCATCATCGGTTCTCCAAGGGGCCTCTCTGGCCCCCTACGCCTGGGAAGCCCGTGCTGTGCGGTGTGGTAATGGGAGAGGCATTCCTAAGCCCCACTCTCTACTCCCAGCCTATACAAAGGCACCTGGGAGAGTGAAATGCTAGGGTATTTTGTCCTTGGGGGTAGAGATGCGAGATGGAGAGATGTTCACCTCTCAGCGCTGGCTGATGCAAGCCACGTCCATGCTGGGCTTCCATTTCCCCACCCTAAAAATGTAGGATTAAGGGATTAAGGGAGCCCTCTCAGGGACATTTTAAGAGCTGAGAATGCAGTCTCTGGATATGCAGGAAAGCCCTTCTTGCTCCAGCTGTGATTTTCCCCAGAATTCAGGGGGTTCCCTCCAAATTACAGAGCTAGGGGCTCATTCCCCTCCTCTCTCATGCCCCCACTTCTACACACACGCCCAGTAGAGAGCAGCAGTTGGGGAGCCTCCACTTTTGGCATTGCCCAGAATCCCCGGACACTGGGCCTGCGCTTTCCCTGGGCTTCAGAACTTGCCGTTCTGTGAGGTCTGGTTTGCTGTCAGAGCCGGTGAAAGGGCAGAGAGGAGGGTGGAAAAAGAGGAAAAATGGATCTCCGGGTGAGCCAAAGATGGGACCTGCTGCCTCCCTTTCCCAACCGAAGAGGGCCTAAGAGTGAATAAGGCTGCTGGGAAAGGGCTCCCCAACTTCATGCTCTGGAGACCCCTCACTTTGATGGCATCCCATGAGTGGGGGAGGGGCGAGCAGAAGGGAGATATTATTTCTACTTTCAGAGAGCCCAGCCTCAGGGTGCGCCCTGCACCCCTAGCTGGCTTAAGAGCTGGGCAGACTCCTCTGCTCACGTCTCTGCTAAAGGCCAGATGTGCTCTGGCAGTCGGCAGTAGCCACCCCTTCCTGGGAACAGAACTTTCCTCCGGAGGTCAGGGTCTCCCCATCTGCAACTGCCATTTGCTTAAAAAAAAAAAAAAAAAAAGTGTGGAGAGAAGGGAATGTGAGAATGCGTGTGTGCGTGGACCTGTGTGCGTGGACGCGTGCGCACGTATGGGGCGGCGGTACCTATGATTGATTGTGTGTGCACGCGCCTGGCTATGCATGGGCGAACGCGCAGTGCAGAACATGTAGGTGTGTGGTGTGCACTTAAACCAAGGTGTGCTCTCCCCGGTGGGCAGGCCTGTTTGTTGGTCAGAGGGTTGGGGCACCCGAGCTGAGGGTCGCTGAGAAGGGTGTTCGAGGCTGTGGGCGGTGCGAGCGTGTCTGCGTGCGCGGTGGCTGAGCTGGTTGTGTGCAATAGAAGTGGGTCTGCCAGTGAGCGTTTACCTGCATTAACGCACAATCACACACCACGGGTCACGTCCCACACTCACTCTTTCCCTGGGCGGGCCAGGCTGTCTGCGCGCGGAAACCCAGAGAGGCCCGCGGAAGGGCAGCGCGGGGAAGGCGACTCTATTCTCCCGCGAGCGCGGCTGTCGGGGAGGAGAAAGCCACAGTCGGGCAGGCTGCGCTGGCGAGCCCCCCAGTTCCTCTCACGGACGTGCCAGCCGCACTGAAGGCGACAAGCCGTCTCCTGCCGAAAACTGAAGGCGTCCGAGCAAGGAAGGTGGGGTGGAGGATAGTTCGCAGGGTACAGGGATTCCGGAGAAACCCGAGAGGCGGGTGGGCTTTGAACGCGCTGCGGACAGTGCTGCGAGCCCGGCACACGCCTCTTGCCACAGCTCACGCCGGCGCTGGGCCTCTAGGCTCTCGCAGTGACCCGCAAAAACACCCCTCGCCCCCCTCTTCCCAATCCCGGATCCTGAAGGGAGAGGCCGGGCCCCGCGCTCAGCTGTCGTTGAGAGAGCAGCACTCACCTGGGTCTGTGCGCGCCGCGTTGAGAGGTGGCTCCGGAGCGGTCCTGCGCTCGGCTCCACCGCCTCCAGCCCGCACCCCAGCGCTTAGGGGTAGCAAGGGCCGGCCTCCGTGGGAGCACCCTGAGGGCTGGCAGCCAGGCGCGCTAGGGCCGCCCTGGGCCGCGCTCCCCGCCCGCACTGTCTGCTCTCAAGAACCTGGCCTGGTGCGCAGTGTCAGAGGCCCCCGCGGCGGCGGCGGCAGACCGAGCCCACAGGGGCATTAGGCCAACTCCCCCCTCCCGCCCAGCGCACGCGGAATTCTCTATTATTATTATTAAAGAATCCCCCAGAACTTGTTTACGTTAAACCCTGTAAACTTCCTGCCAGGGCCTTTGCCATCTCTCGGGAAATCGGAACCTGCGCTTTGAAAATGGGGCCCGCAGGGCCAAATAGGCGGGTTTTCAATGTGTTGGGGGTGGGGGAAGCCAACGAACTACCAGTGAATTCAGATCCGAGTGTGGCATGTATACGCGTGAGCGGGAATGACTGCGAACCTAAGCTCCTGTGGGCCTATTCTATGTCAGCGAGCGCATTAGTGGATGCGCACATGCCTGCGCGCCCTTTGCACTTGAGTGTGCACACACACACGTGTGTGTTTGCACGTTTGCGTAATTTACCGGGTTTACATGTGCATCAAGACATGTTTGTGTGTGCTAACGTGTACACAACAGCACGAGTGTGTGCGCGTACGGGTGAGTGACTGAGCACGCCGCTTGTTCCGAAGCCTGTGAGGTTTCTGTCGCCGCTGGGCCAGAGGGTTCTCACACGCCCCCGTCAGGCCCGCGGAGCCCGAGATAGAGCGGCCGCGACTAGTCCAGCGCTTTCGTTTTCCGCCTGTGCTCTGCCCCGGCGGCTGCCCGCCCGCTCGCGCGCCGCTGGGAGAGTCCGAAAAATCCCGAGCGCCGCGCAGTCCTTCCCGGGGCGGGGAGACTGGGTAGGCGGTCCCTTGCGGGAACTTACGCCGGCCGGCCGCGGGGACCCGGAGTCGAGCCGGCTGTGCTCGCGATGGTCACGACCTGGCGGCCGCCGCGCCTGCGATTAGCCACCCGGCTGCGCGTCTGGAAGGCCCGGGCCCAGGGCGCGTTTCCCTCCGCGCCGCCCGGGCTGGGAAGGCGGGGGCCAGCGCGCTCCGGGGCCGAACCGCGGGAGGAGGGCGCCTTAACACTTGCTCGCCAGGTTGGTGGAGGCGGGGCGGATTCTCCTGGCGGCCGCGGGGCGGCGAGAGTGGGGGCTCTTTAAGCGCCCACCAACGCGGGGGCCCAAGTGGGCAGAGAGGGAGGGAACTCCGGGAGGGTCTTGCGCCGGCCGGCGAGACGCTGCCGTGCGGAGTTGCAGTGAAGGCGGCCTCGGCCGGAATCTCGGAGCGGAGCCCTGCGGGCGTTGGGGACCCAGAGCTGCTCCCGGCGGGGGCGCACAGCTGTAAGCCCTGGAGGCAGTGGCTCCCCCAGAAAAATACCGGCGGGGGTAGCTTCCTCACGGCCTCCGCCCGGGCTGCCCTCGGCCTCAGCTCCTTTCCTAGTGGGAGGGCGAGAGAGAAAGAGGGAGGAGAGAGGTGGGGGAGGCGGGAGTTGAAGAGAGAGGGGCTCTGAGCCAACCGCCGGCGGATCCAGCAGCTCCTCAGGGAGGGCGGGCGGGAGCGCGGGGGCGGGCGGGCCGCTGCTAGCTCGGGAGAAGTGGCCGCCGATGACGGCAGAGGTGCAGCCAGCCCCGCGTGCGCAGCCCCCTCCCCCTCGCCCTCCTCCCCCCCCTCGCCCTCTTCCTCCTCCTCCTCCTCCTCCTCCCGGCCCGTCCGCGGCGCAGAGCAGCGACGGCAGCGGCGGCGGCGGCAGCAGCCACCCGATGTCTTCCGCGCCCGAGAAGCAGCAGCCACCGCACGGCGGCGGCGGTGGCGGCGGGGGAGGCGGCGCGGCCATGGACCCCGCGTCGTCCGGCCCGTCCAAGGCCAAGAAGACGAACGCCGGCATCCGGCGCCCGGAGAAGCCGCCCTACTCCTACATCGCGCTCATCGTCATGGCCATCCAGAGCTCGCCGACCAAGCGCCTGACGCTCAGCGAGATCTACCAGTTCCTGCAGAGCCGCTTCCCTTTCTTCCGCGGCTCCTACCAGGGCTGGAAGAACTCCGTGCGCCACAACCTCTCGCTCAACGAGTGCTTCATCAAGCTGCCCAAGGGCCTCGGGCGGCCCGGGAAGGGCCACTACTGGACCATCGACCCGGCCAGCGAGTTCATGTTCGAGGAGGGCTCCTTTCGCCGGCGGCCTCGCGGCTTCCGAAGGAAATGCCAGGCGCTCAAGCCCATGTACAGCATGATGAACGGGCTCGGCTTCAACCACCTCCCGGACACCTACGGCTTCCAGGGCTCGGCCGGCGGCCTCTCGTGCCCGCCGAACAGCCTGGCACTGGAGGGCGGCCTGGGCATGATGAACGGCCACTTGCCCGGCAATGTGGACGGCATGGCCCTGCCCAGCCACTCGGTGCCCCACCTGCCCTCCAACGGCGGCCACTCGTACATGGGCAGCTGCGGCGGCACGGCGGCCGGCGAGTACCCGCACCACGACAGCTCGGTGCCCGCCTCCCCGCTGCTGCCCACTGGCGCCGGTGGGGTCATGGAGCCGCACGCCGTCTACTCCGGCTCTGCAGCGGCCTGGCCGCCCTCCGCCTCTGCGGCGCTCAACAGCGGCGCCTCTTACATCAAGCAGCAGCCCCTGTCCCCCTGTAATCCCGCGGCCAACCCCTTGTCCGGCAGCCTCTCCACGCACTCCCTGGAGCAGCCATATCTGCACCAGAACAGCCACAACGCCCCAGCCGAGCTGCAAGGTGAGTGGGGAAGCAGAGGGCGCCCTGGTCCCCGGAAAGTGGAATCTGAGTGGGAGCGAGACCCAGCCAGGATCGATCCCCTCTACCCCAAGGTTGAGGGGAAGCACCAGCTCCCCAGGATGCCACTTAGCCCCACCTTTCCCCCTTTGAAAAGTGACTAGCGCTCTGGACCCTAGTTTGGGACAATTTGTTTCTCTTTCTGTTCCAACTCCAGCTGCTGGCTGCCCCAAGCCTGACCAGGTAGGCCGGTCCTTAGCAAGAAGTCCCAGACCCAGTGCCCTAAGCCCTTAAGTCCCCTCACACCTTGGAGAGGTCCTGGTGTGGACCCAGGGCTCCTAGCCCTGGCCAGATGGCCCTCCCTCCCAGGTAGTGGCCCTCAGGCTGCCTGGAGAGCTGCCTCTGCTTGCGGTTGGGCAGAGCGGAAGAGTTAGGCCTTGTGCTCAGAGGCTCAGCCCCAGCCTTTCATGGGACTAGGCCTGGCAGAGCCACAGCTGAGTCCACCGGCATTTTGTGGTGTCAGGGTCAGGGCAGTGCCGGTCCAGACCCAGGAGGGTCAGAGCCACAAGCCGGGGACTTCTTATTTCTTAGAATCCAAGTTTTTAGGTACCCACACTGCTGATACCCCAACAGGCCCAACAAGCAGAAGCATCTGCCAAGGGAGATGCATCAGCTTGGCCTCCTGATTCTGCCTCAGCGCCCCTGGACAGCCTGCAGGCCCAGCTCTAGAGAGAGCTGGAGTGATTTCACCAGGGCCTATCCAGGGTCAGCTGTCAGCAGCCACGGGAGGCAGGAGCCAGGCCTGGAGGACTTAGGCAGCCTCTCCACAGGGGACTCTCCCGCTCCAGGCCCGGTTCTCTGGAGAAGCCTCTTCTCCCCCCTGCTGCTGGCCTGGCGCTGGCCTCTCCTTCCACACAGACATCCAAGCCTCAGGTCAGGAGGCAGCTGCCTTGATGGTGGCCGCCATGGGAGTTAGGGGCCCTCCCTGGGGCCTTCAGGCAGAGCTTGGCCTCCCTCACCGCTTTCCCTGTGGCTTCTGGAAGCCCTGGGCCCATGCACGGTGTCCAAGGCTGGATAGGCACACGACAGGCAGGCACTGGCAGGAGGGAGGCCATGGCAAGCGTTCTGGGGAAGGCCTGGACTCCCGGGAACATGGCGGGGTGATGGCTGTGTTCCTCTGCCTGAACTCTGGCTTTTCTGCTCCCCCAACCCCTCCTGTCACCTCGCCTTGCAGGCATCCCGCGGTATCACTCCCAGTCGCCCAGCATGTGTGACCGAAAGGAGTTTGTCTTCTCTTTCAACGCCATGGCGTCCTCTTCCATGCACTCTGCCGGCGGGGGCTCCTACTACCACCAGCAGGTCACCTACCAAGACATCAAGCCTTGTGTGATGTGAGGCTGCCTCCGCAGGCCCTCCTGGTGCAGGCAGTCAGGTCACAGGGACCCTGGACCGGCACAAGAAACTGCTTTATTATCGAGGTATAACTGTCAGCAGAAGAAAAGGGTTCGACCCCTCCCCAACCGGAATTTTTGGCAAGGAATCCCCAACGCAAAGACATAGTGCTGTGGTTGGCATCTCCTTCCCCACTCCCTCAAAAATGTTAAGAAATGGTAGTGGTGGGTCTGATCGGACTGCAGCCGTCGGTAATAAAGGTTTTTGATCCTGCTGAACGCGGCTGAGACGGTGCTGTGCTGGGGAGAGCCTTCCTCATCCACACGGAAATTCTGCTGAGGTCCCCCCTCCTCCCTGGCCAAGGGCAGAAGTCGGAGGAGATTTTTAGAAGAAAGGCACACATGTGAGACCAATCATTATCAAATACTTTTTATTTTTGGTTATTTATCTTTTTATTTTTAATTTTTTTTTTTGGAAAGAATGTCTTGGACTGTACAAGTCTCCCTTTAGAGCCGTCTTTAGAGGGGAGCAGGAGGGGACGGATCTCCCTCCCCACCTCCGTAGTCTCCTCCGTGGACCACAGGTGGATCTTTGTGTGAACAAGTTGCATTTCGGAAGCCACTGTCCGTCTTTGTCTTTAAACAGAAAATTGAAGGAGCCGCGAAGTGAGCGGCCGCCGGGCCTCTGCCTCTGTCCCCATTTGTCCATTTCCCTCTTTTTCCTTCGCTTCAGCCTCTTCTGTTATGTTTTGTCTTGAATTTTATTTCCACTTTTTCAGTGGGTATTTTTCTCTCTCCCAACCTCTACTGTAAACTTTCTGGTCCGAGAACGAGCCGAACACAGCGCGACGCAGGGACTGGGACGGCCGGTGACCGCGCGGATTCAGGATTGCGGGCACGCAGAAAGGTTAAGGCACTTTTTAAAACTGTAGCAAGGCTCCTGTTTATTTATTCTACTTTCTTTCCCTAATAATCGAAACACCGCATAGGCTCCTCCGTTTATCAGTATTAATGGTGTAACTTCGTTGGCAATATTTGCCGTGTAGAATTTTTTTTTTAGATATCCATTGTAAATTTGAAACGAAGACAGATCTGTGTAAAAACAAATTTCCATATGTTTTATATAAATATATATATAATATGAAGGACTACCCTTTTTTTTGGCATTTTCGCTGCTAGAGTGCAGCATTTGTGACACGTATTTGAAATTTTAAATTTCCTTCTGCACTGTATAAAAGGACCATTTGAGGATGTTTTGCCTTTTGTGTATTTTTTCCTAAAAAAAAACAAAAATAAAAATGTATAACATTTGTACATGGCCTTTAAAATTGTGTCAACTAGAAATAAAACCGCATGAGTATTTTTTTGGGATTGGGGTTGCAGAATATCTTCCAGACTCACAAATAAAGAAAAAAACAAAACAGGCTTTGGATCTCTAGGCTTTTAAAAATTTACAATTTGGGTGATTCTGAATGCTTTTCTCTTTTTTGGCGAATCCCCCTCTTTTCACTCTTCATTCCACATTGAAGTAAAATCTAGACCAGAGGAACTATTTCTCTTGGCTTCTGTTTTTTAAGAAGAGCCCTCTGCCCCTCTTAATGTCATTGCTTGTTTTAAAGAAATAATCAAACGTTTAAAGAACTCTGTAGTCCTCCTTCCCCTAGGGAACACCAAGTAAACCATATATGTGCACATATATTCTACAGATCTGTGTGTGGGTGTATGTACACATATGTACACGTGTCCGTGTACATAATATATATTTTTTTGCCACTACAAGACCAATGGGAGTTTTACTCTGGGTTTCAGACTTTCTGATTCTCTTACTGTAGCTGTTATAAATATCAATCAACTTTAAGGGTATTTTTTGTAATTGTTGGTTTTGTCTTGTTTTTTGGTTTTTTGGTGCCTTGTTCTTGGTTTTCCCCAATAGAAAATTGAGTAAAATCTAAATGAGGCAAAAGGGCCTTTGGTGGGCAAAGTGACAGGCGTGTTTCCAACAACCCTGTAACATTTATCTCCTAAGTCACAGTTCGTCCCCTCTGGGGGAAAAATATTTAACGCTTGTGCCTTCCACTGACCACCCTCTTTCTATTTCAATTCCCGATTTCTGAGGAGAACACACAGGTCAGTCGCATTGTTGGTGAGGCCCTTCCAGACCCCCGCAGGGGGTCTTGCGTCGTGGGGTCGTGAGTCTCTGAACCTGGTTCTTCTCAGACTTGACATTTTGGACGTAGGGGGTAATTTCTCTGGTGCTCTGTTACATCAAAATTATCAATAAACTAGCCTGGGCAATTGATGTCCCTAACCAACAGCTGTCTATAAAATCGAGATAAGGGGAACAGGAAAAGGCCGGCGACACCATCCCTTGGAGTCTCCGGCGGGAAGCGTCAGACCAGGCTTTGCTGGGCGCTCCTACAGCAGGTCCGCAGCAGACGGAGAAGGCGGTCTTCCTGGGGAGGAGGTCTTCTCTGCACCCTCCGCCTCTGACTAGAGCCGGAAACCCAGTGCGGAGATTCCCCGGGCCTCCTAGCGCCGAACGCTGCTCTAGCGTCCGGTCTGCCTCGCGGGATAGAGGAGCTGTGGACCCCTTCTCTCTCCCACAGAGGCTCCGGGGAAATGGGGCTGATTTGGAGAAGCCCAACTGCCCTCCCAGGTTTTCTTCTGCGGAGTCTCCAGCCCCTGCACCCACTCGATTGGCGCCCTGGCGCGCCAGAGGCCCCCGTGCGCCCGGTTGTGCGTGGCTTTGGCGCCGCTGGACTAGGGTCCCGGGCGGCGGCAAAGACCGGTTTCCTGTTCATCTCCTTGCCTTCGCTTGAGGAGGCTCTCCCAGCGCACCCATGCCCAGGTCTGGCGGGGCGGGAGGCTGGTGGAGATCTAGAAGGCTTGTGCAGGAAAACTGGCCCAGATTGCCCGGGGACAGTGATCGGCCTCGGTCTTCCCGCCTGACTTGCGGCCTGGGAATGAGAGGGAAAGTCCAGCCTTCCCGCAAGGAGATCCTGGCTCCAGGCAAGCCCGGAAGGGCCAGATAACTCAGGCGAAACTGCCTCTGCACCCAAGTCCGAGATTTCGCACCGCCGCTGCTGCAGCGCGGAGACTGCGCTCGGCTGGGCTGTCTTCCTCCGGGTCCACTGAGTGCCGGGCTCGCACAGGGGTCGTGGGTGAAACTCCCACTGCTGAGCGATGCCACAGAAGCGTGCCCAGTACGTGCAAGTGACAAGCTTAAAAAGCAAAGGGCTCCTGAGTCTGGTGCAAAATTATGCGCCCTGCGTGCGTAAAGGACCCCTAAGGATCCACGGGCACAGAGGCGCCCTACGTAGAATTAATGCATCATCGCTCAGTATTATCTTAGGGGTTTCGTTCTGGAATAACGTAGAATTAATTCACAATTTCTTCATATATTTTAAGCGTTTTGCGCTGAAACAGGGAAGTCGAGATGCCTGTTGATGTGAAATCTCCCCTGTAATAAAGCCCCGGAACAGAGGTAGGAGCCGCTCGCTGCAGGCTTCTGCGGGTGGATTACACGTTCGCGGACGCCTCGGTTCCCTGCGCGGGGCCAACGCCTTGGACGCACCCGAGCCCCCGTCGCTTTCCCGTTGCAGCCCCAGGGAGTAGAAGCGCCAGGGCGCGGCCTCCGAACTCCTCAGCCCCAGGCAAACGGGATTTAGCCTCGGGGAGCTCACCCCCAGGGCCTGTCCTGGCGAGCAGGTCAGTCGCCCGGCCAGCCGGCCGGAAGGCGCCTGGGGTGTGAGCTTCTGATGCGGTGGCGCCTGGGCCACCGAGGTGTGCACTTTCTATTCTCTTTTCTCTTTAAGGCTGGAGGGGGTTACTAGCCACAACAGCGCGGCTTCAGGCCTCCCAGCCACCCATCAGCAGGCGGCTTTTGCTCAAAGCAGTGGCAAGAGGAGCTAGGGTTCCTGCTCTGCGGCTACCCCAGCCTGAGCAAGCCATGTCGCCTCTGAGCCTCGGTTTCCTGATCTTGAATAGTACAGTCTTGGTGGACCTAGCGGGGCCAGGGTTAATAAGGCAGATGCTTCTAAGGAGTCAAGGGGTGGCCTGGTTCCTTGGTACCCAGAAAGGAGTGGCCAGTCAGACCTGGCTTTTCTCTCCCAGATGTCTCTTGGGGTCAGTGTGGAGTGGTGGGTGTGTCTGCTTGTGAGGGGTGTGGAAACCATAAGAGGTGCAAAAATCCATATTTTACAAAGCCCTCTGCTCAGGGACTTCTGATCCCAGTGTGGAGACAGCTAAATTCCCATCTTCACCGACCTTCCCTCCTTTCCCAGGGAGAAGCAAGATGGCTCACATAGCTGAGAGAATTTTCACAGTGGGTTAGGGCTTGAGGTGCCAACATAAACCAGCCACCAGAATCTCCCTCAACCTCACTGACCCCTCCTAGTCCTGCTGAATATCCTGCAGATGGCCCCGTGGGGAAGAGGGAGGTCAGAAGCCCCGAGCCCAGTGGCTTCACCTCTGATGGTAACTATCAGAGTTCAGCCCAGGAATCACCCTCATCAGACATATTTGGGATGTCTGTTTAAACTGCAGATTTGAGGGGTCCCTGAGAGCTCCTGGTTAGAATCTCTGGAGGGGAGACCCAGGAGTCCACGGGGTTCCCAGATAGCCAGGTGGTACTGTGAGCACTAGTTTGGGTCTCCTCTCTCACACTGGCCAAGGCTGTTATGAGTGGCCTCTGCTGCCCCCTCTTGCCCGCCTGCTGGATCAGGCCCCCGTGTCTTTGCAGCAGCTGGTTGGGAGAACTTGGAGGCCAGGCCAACAGGCATCATGGCCACATTTGCAGGTATACCACATGTACGCCGGGCCGGAGCAGGCCTTCTTCCCCCGCAAGCAGCTCAGTCTACCCCAGACCACCCTCGCTCACTCCTGGCTAGGCTTTGCCCTTGTTACTTTTGGAGGCAGACACTGAGCTCAGGGAGGGTCAGTGTCTGCTCCAGACACGGTTGGTAGGACGTGGAATTTGGACTCGGACCAGTACTTTCTGACCCTAAAGCCTGTTTCCCCCACCATTACATGACACAGCTCCTGGATTCCGGTTTGCCTCCATCCAAAAGGCCTTGTGGAAAAAGGAAAGTTGACACGGGGTCCATGATTTAGCAGGGGCAGCAATGGGCAGGACCACAGGAGGTCGGGGGCTCTCAGACCCCCTCTTGGCTTCCAGCTGAGCTAGGAGGGCCCTTGCAGGCAGGGCAGGGAGCTGGCCTAGCAGCCAGCCAGAACTTACCCTCTCAGAGCTCCAACGGTGATTCACAGGTTCCACCATGGCCTGCCGTGGAAGCATCCTTTGCTTCATGGGGTCCCCTTAGACCAGCAGAGAAAAACTTCAGATGAAAGTAGGTGCTCAAGGTGAGTAAGGCTGGCCACACAGCACTGTGGCCACCTCCACACTCTGCTTATGGAAACTTCTGGGCACCAATATCTCAACGTTCTGGACTCTGCTTAAGTAGAAAGGCCCTTTGCCGGTGTCTGAGCCCCGAGGCATGTTCTGGGCCATGTGGCCAGCAGGGTGGGACAGCAAGGGAGGGAGTCATATCCATCCAGGAAGGGACACTGACTTGTTGTGGGGCTGAGAGGAAACCTGGGCCTTTGACAATTCTAGGTCTTCATGTGCTTTGAGGGTGGACAGGGGCAGAAGAACGCCTGCAAGTATAAAACATCGCGGGAGTGAGGCGTCTCCTAGCCAACTCTGGCTGGAAGGCTGTCCGATTCCAAATTGTTCATTGCTCAATTAAACTCTTAAATAAAACATCGCCAGCATAAAATGACAGACAGAGGGGAACCCTCATGGAGCTATCCCTTCCACACAGGGCCCTGGCTCTGTGTCCACCACTAGACTAGATTTATGATGGACATGGTGACATACACCCATCATTACAGACAGACCAGCCAGTGCCCCGCTGCCCCAGCCCACTGGCAGAGAGCATGTGGTGGTTGCATAGTGGCTGGCATTGAGGTGGGAAAGTGTGTGGTCCCCTTAGGAGCAGATGCCCAAGCCATATGATGCCCAGCAGCTGAATACACAGGCCATGTCCTGTGGGACCATCCGGCTGCTACCAGCATCAGGACACCTGAAATCATGTGGACACCATGAAGAGACAAGGACACCAAGGCCAGGATGACCACAAATGTCCTGAGCAGACTCAGAAAGCTGGCCAGATGCAGTGTCTGCAGGGTCCCTGTGGTGGTCTTTCTCCCATCCTACAGCGCAGGACACTTGCTGGAGACAGCCAAGAGGAAAAGCAGGCAGGGTCACTGGGGCAGGTGCAGGCGTCCTCTCTGGCTTATTTTGGACAATGTTC